TATATATATATATATATATATATATTGACAGCAGAAGCTTTTGCTGCCGCTGATGATGATGCTTCAAAGCGATACCGACAGAGCAGGAAGTAGCAGCTCCAACTGTACCGCACTAAGAGTATTATAAACTGTCTCTACAAGGAGACATCCCGTAGAAATCAGCACGGGTAAGATTTTATATGGTAAAGACATTAAACCCTAATTTACTAGTGTCTGCAGGCAGCAGACAAAGCAGATAATGCTGCATACAGCAGACACAGCTGCGAAAATGGCATGCAGCAGCAAATGCAGCATGCAGCAGACACAGCAGCTAATGCTGCATGCAGCAGCTAATGCTGCATGCAGCGGCTAGTGATGCATGCAGCAGCAGCAGAGACGGAAGTAAATGTTAACTACTAGAGACGTGGCCCATGGAGGGTGGGAGGGCAGTGAGTTGCTGGCGGCGCTGCAGCTGCAAACGGGGAGTCTCCCACCCTGCTGCTGCAGGGGCAGCAGCAGTTGCTGCTGCTGCTGCTGCTGTTGCTGCAGTGTCTGTTTGTGGGGCCCCTGACGCCCCCTGGCCCCTATGTATCGTCCTCCTTGCACTTGTTGTTGCAGCAGCAGCAAACGCTGCTGTCTGCTGCTCTTTTGCTGCAACTCGAAGGTCAGCAGGGTTTTGGTTGCTGCTGGGCTGAGCTTCGGCGAGAAGGGGGTTTCCCCCAGGGGCCCCCTTGGTACCGCTTGCTGCAGGCCATGGATAGTGCGAGGGCCCCGTAAACCCTAACACAGAGATATCTCCTACCTGCAGCCCCGATTGTAGACGCATAAATACCTCTGATGAGCCAGAACAAAGCCGCTCAGGGGGCCCCTCTATTACTGTTGATGGGTCTCCAGGGGCAGCAGCAAGTGCTGCTGCAGGCAGATGACAAACGTTCTGTTGCTGTTGCTGCTGTTGCTGCTGCAACGGTGGCGGCAGCGGAGACGGCTCTGCTGCGGCAGCGGCTGCTGCGTAGTTAGCAGGCACTGGGTCAAAAACTACGTGGGGAATCGCCCCTGCTGCTGTTGCGTTTGTTGGTGTTGTTGCTGCTGCTGCTGCTGCTGCTGGTGTAGTTGCGGTCGAGGCTCCAGCCTCTGCTGCAACGCAGTTTTCGCTGCTGCTTAAATGCAAAGCCGCCGTTGATATTTCAGCAGCAGTGGGGGGGAGGATCGTGCTGCTGTGGCTGGGCTGCTGCTGCATCCTGCCTGCTGCGGCAGCAGCAGCAAACAAGGGGCCTCCAGAGGCACCTAGTGAGGCCCCTAAGGGAGCCCTTACGGGCACCCCCAAGGAAGCCCCTACAGGGGCCCCCAAGGGGGCCCCTACGGGAGGGGCTAGGAGGGTATCTTGCAGGACGGTCCCGAGGGGCCCCCGGGGGGCCGAGTTAGCCATTAGATATTTGGCTCTGTTCGTGAAGGCGGAGAGGGCGAGACGGACGCACCTGCAAAAACCAGCGGAGACTGCCATGTGACGGTTTGCGTGCGGCAGCATCCGAGGCAGCAGCGGCAGCAGCAGCAGCAGAAGCAGCAACAGCAGCAGCAGCAGAGAGAGGTCCAACTCACCTTGCTGTGGCGTTCCAGGTCTTCAGCTTCAGAGATACAATGCAGCGCTGGCTCTCGCCAGCAGCGGGGTTGCTGACGCTGCAAGGGAGTGCAGCAGCAGCAGCAGCAGGAGCACCGGCCGCAGCAGCAACTGCTGCTGCTGTCGCTGGCGTCGGGGCTGGCTGGTCTGCTGCTGCTAGCCGGAGGAGCTGTCCCTCCGCCTCTAGGGGTTTCCTCAGGAGGGCCAAGTGCCTCCTTTGCTGGTTCAGATAGCTGAGACAGATAGATATAAGCTGCTGCTCTAGTTGCTGCTGTTGCTGCTGCTGTAGCTGCTGCTGCTGCTGCTGCTGCTGCGGCTGCGGCTCCTCTGCCTTGACCCGATGCGAAGCAAAAAATGAAAAGACAGACATCGAGCCATCGCAATCAACTCCATTCGATGCAGTGGCCGATGCTGCTTGTGCTGCTTGTGCTGCTTGTGCTGCTGCTGCTTCTGCTGCTGCAAGCAACACACTCCGCAGCAAACATGTGAACTGTCAGTTGCATGCAATTCATGCCAGCCTAAGGGGGGTTCTTGTGGATGCTGTGGTTTGCTGCTGCTGCTGCTGTTGCTGCTGCTGCTGGTGCTGTTGCTGCTGGTGAGATGAAGGGACCCACCTTTAGCGGTCTTCTCTTCAATCTGTCTCTCCATCTCTTCCAGCTTTAGTTTCTGCTGCGCCAGTTGTTCTGCTGTCTGTTGCTGCTGCTGCTGCTGCTGCTGCAGCACTTGCTCCTTGATCTGCTGCTGCTGCTGCTGCTCTTGCATGCGTTTCTCTCGTATGGCGGTCTCCTCCTCGAGCTGCTGTAGCTGACTGCGTCGTTGATTAAGCTGCTGTTCTTGCTGCTGCTGCTGCTGTTCGCGGGTCTTTAGTTCCTCCATTTGCTGCTGCAGCTGCAGCTGCTGCTGCTGCAGCAGCTCCCGCTGCCGCTGCTGCTCTGCCACCTGACTATCGAAGTCTGCTACGACCTGCTGGTGTCTCAACAGCTGCTGCTCGAGTAACTGCTGCCTCATCTGCAGCATAAGTTCTTGGTGTTGCAGTTGTTGTCGTTCTTGGTGTTGCTTCATTTGCTGTTGCTGTTGCTGCTGCTGCTGCAGCTGCTGCTGCAGCACTTCCCGCTGTCGCTGCTGCGCCTCCCGCAGCTGCAACTCCTGCTGCAGCCGGCGTTGCAGCTCGTGCTGCATTTCCAGTTGCTCCCGCTGCTGACTGAGGCTTTCTTCCTTTTGGTTTGCAAGGGCTAAGAGGCTCTGTGCCTTTTGCTGCTGATGCAGCGCTTGCTGCAGTTGCTGCTGCGCCTCCTGCTTCTCCTGTATTGCCTCCCGCTGCAACTCCTCAGCCACGCGCTGCTGCCGCTGCAACTCCTCAGCCTGAGCAGCTAATGCCTGCAGCATCTGCGCTTCCTGCTGTTGGTGCTGCCCCTGATGCAGTTGCTGTGTATGGCCAGTGGCTATGGCAATGGAGTGTGCTTCCCTGTTTTCATCAGCTGCGGTTCCTGCTGATGCAGCAGCAGCAGCATCAGCTGTTGCTGCTGCAGCATCTGTTGCGGCTACTGCAGCAGCAGCCCGCTGCGGCGTTGGAGGAGCTCCAGGGGCTGCTGGACGCTGACGGTTGTGAGACGGCTGCAACATAGCGCCGTCCCCCCCCTCTGTTTCTGTGCTTGTTTGCTGCCGTTTGCTGCGGCTTCTGCTGCTGCCTCTTCTACGGGTGTCTGGGAGTAGCGTTGGCTCTGCTGCTTCTTGGGGCAGCCACTGCTGCATTTGCTTTGCCAGCTGCGTCTGCTGCAGCAACGCAGCATAGCCCGGCAGCGACTGCATGCAGCCAGCGACAGCTAAGCCTGCTGCTTGAATAGCACGTGTAGAGAAATAACGAGCGGCAGCTTTTGCTCTCTCCATATCCCCCTTCTCGCTGCAGGTGCTGCTGCTGCTGCTGCTGCTGATGCGGCTATTGCACCGCAGCGCCAACGCACTGCGGGAAAGACCCCCTCCTGCTGTTGCTACGGCTGCTGCTGCTGCTGGCGTTGCTGTTGCTGCTGCAGATGATGATGTTGCTGGTCCGGCTGGCGCTGCTGCAGCAGTTCCATTCCCTGTCCTTGTTGCTGTACCGACGCTCTTGCTGCTGCCGCTCATGCTGCTGCTGCTCGTGCTGNCAGGGAGCGGGAGGCGTCGGAAGCGACGCTCGGTAGCGACCGAAAGCCGGAAGGAGACACAAGGGGCCTCCTCGTGGGGCCCACCTGGGGTCCCCCAACCATGGGGCCCTCCGGGGCTCCCCCGCCAAAGGGGCCCCGCAGGAGCCCCTCCCCCATAGGGTCACCGGGGTTGCCACCCAGGGGTCCCCCCGAGGGGAGACTAGGTGAGAGTGGTGCTTCACCGTCTTCCAGTTCTGTTGCATGGTTTGCTGCCATCTCTGCAACCAAAGCGAAATAAGCTGCTCGCTGTGCTGCCTCTTCGGGGCTTAGGAACTCGCCCTCCTCCCGCAGCAGATCCCCGGAGACAACCCCAGGATGATCCCAGGAGACGATCCCAGGGCTGCCTCCGGGGACGACCCCAAGACTGTCCCCTGGGACGATGCCAGGTCCATTCCCAGATACGATCCCAACAGGTTCGCCGGAGACGATCCCCAGACTATCCCGGGAGAGGATCCCAAGGCGATCCCCGGAGACGATCCCAGGGCGCTCACGGGCAACGATCTCCAGGCGATCCTCGGACTGTCTCAGGGTCTGCGGTCCCTCTTCTGCAGGAGTTATCTCCTCGACGGCAGTGGATGGTATAATGCGCAGCAGGTTTTTCTTTTGCTGCTGATCTGCTTCTGGTTTGCTGCTGCGGCAGACGCGAGGCAGAGGCGCTGCTTGCAGCAGCTGCAGGGGACTAAGGGACCCCACAATTTCTCCTTCTTGGCTTTGGAGGCCATCAGGAGACAAACTGCAGTGCGAGGGACTATGCATGCAACTCAACTCACCAGAAGACACACCCTGCTGTTGCTCCGACAGTTGCTGCTTCTGCTGCTGCTGCTGCGCAAGATGTGAGTGTTGCACGCCGTCGTGGGTCTGCTGCTGCCGCTGCTGGCGCTGCTCTTCGACCTCCAGGGCCCCCAGCTGCTGCTGCTGTTGTTGCTGGTGTTTTTGTTGCTGCATCTGCCGCTCATGCATTCGTGCTTGCCCGATTTGATGTTGCTGCTGCAGCTGCTGCAGCTGCTGCTCTTGTTGCAGGTGCTGCCATTCCCGTTGTTGCTGTTGCATCTCTTTCTGGTGCTTCGTCTCATCCGTAGTTTGTGGTTGCCGCTGCACTTGGTGCTGCACTTGGTGCTGCCCTTGCTGCTGCACCTCCTGGTGCAGTTGTTTTTGCTGCTGCAGCTGTTCCTCTCGCTGCTGCTGCCGGATTTGCAGCTCCTGCTGCCGCAGTTCCTGCAGTCGCCATTGCTGCTGTGGATGCTGCTGCTGCTGCTCTTGTAGCTTTTCCAGCTGTGGCTGTAGCTGCTGCTGCTGTTGAATATGCTGCTGCTCGTGTTGCTGTTCCATAGTGGGCAGGCATTTTGCTTGGTTGTGCTGTTGCTCCTTGTCTGCCTCATTTTGTTGCGGTTGCTGTTGCTGCTGCGTTTCCCACAGCTCGAGGCTTTGAAGAAGCTCTTGTGTGTGCGTGTGATGCTGCTGCTGTTGCTTTTTGGGGTGTTGCTCGGACATTTTTTGCTGCAGCAGAAGCTCTTCATTGATTGCCGATGCCTCTTCTTCCTGCAGCTGCTGCTGCGTCGCAGCATCCTGCAGCGGCAGATGCAGCGGCTGCTGCTGCAGGTGCTTCTCCTGCTGTTGCTGCTCCTGCTGCTGTTGCTGCACCTGCTGCTTCAGGGGCTCCTCTTGATCCCGGTGCTGCCGCGGCTGCTGCAGCAGCTGGGACCGTTCCTGCATTTCACTTTGGAGGTCCAGCAGCGGCTGCTGCTGTTGCTGCTGCTGCTGCTGCTGCGTCTCGTTGCTTGGTTCTGCAGTGCGTTCGTGTGTGTCAAGGTCTTGCAGCTGCAGCTGCTCAATGCTGCTTCTGCTGCCGTTGCTGCAGGGGGAAACGGAATCTCGTGTCTCCTTTATATCTCCTAGCCTAGCCAGCCTGAAGCTGTGTTCGCTGCTGCTGCTGCTGCTGCTGCTTGTGAGGCTGTTGTCTTCTTGCTTGGGTGTTTGCTGCTCTTCTGCAGCATCTGTATCCTCCAATTTGTCTCTGGAGTTTGTGTCTGCTTCTGTGCCTCCTTTTCTGTCTCCCTTGTCTCCTTTCCTCTCCCCGTCTCCCTCTCTGGCGGCTTCATTGTCTCCCTCTCTGTATTCTTCTCTCTTTACATCTCTCTCTCCTTCTTTGTGGCATTTTCTGTCTCCTCTGACTTCTCTGTCTCCTTCTGTGCCAGCTGCTACGGGCCGCGGCAAGCAGGAGAAAGGAGACCGCTGAGAAGAGAGACAGCCAGGTGTCTCTACGCCCCAATTTTCTGCTGTTGCATGCATGCTATCTGTGCAGTTGTCCGTACACTGCATTTCTGCACTTGCTGCTGCATATTCTCCTTCAAACGGCGATCCCCAAACGTTCCCAACTGCTCGCTGCAGCGGCGCTGTGCTGCTGCTTCTGCTGCTGCCCTCGCTGCTACTGCTGCGTCTGCTGCTGCTGTCGCTGCTGCTGCTGCTGCTGCTACCGGTTAGGCCAGCAGCAAGCAGCAACCCCTTGCCTTGAGCAGCAACGTGCGAGGTCTCCGGTGTATCCGCAGCTCCTGAGGTGATGTCTACATTTGCTGCTTCTGCACTCATCGTGTATAGGGGACTATAATGCAATAAAATGCATATTATTTATTGTCTCCTCTCTACTAGTACATATTAATTACTATTATCTCCTTGTATCTATAAACAAGTCTAGTTATTGTTAGTATTTGTTATAATCCATGTGTCTTTGTTATTACTCTTCTCGCCTCAGAAGACTGCGCTGGAGCGGCCTGAACCGGCACACAGGCAGTGAGCTGCTGCCGCAGGAGCTGATGCTGCTGCTCTAGCTGCTGCAGCTGCTGCTGTCTTTGTTGTTGCTTCTGCAAAGACCTCGGGTCCTCCCCCTAGGCTGTGTTTTCGTTGGTCCTTTAGCAGAGACAGCGATCGTCACCTCAGCAGAAACGCGTGCCGCAGCAGTAGCAGCAGCAACGGAGCAAATTAACTGCTTAAGAGCAGGGCGTTACAGCGGTTCTATGATATATTTGTCTGCGTTGTCCGTTAGACGACGACGGCCACAAAGAAAACGAGGAGGAGACAGAAGAAAAACAAAAGAAAAACAAAAGAAAGACTGACAGCTCCAATCGCCTTGTGCATCGCGTGAGGTCCCTGTGCTTTTTCTCTCTTTTTGTTTTGTTGCTGTTGTCTCTGCATTTGAGACAGATGGAAAAACAAAGGCAACAACTGTCAGTCGCTATGTCTGTATACACAGACACATTTATGTGCTGCAGCTGCTACTTTTATACATATATAAACATATCTATATATAATTGAATGCATGCGTACATGCATTTATATGCTTATGCAGTGTATGTACGTACACTGCAACAAATGTTTAACTATATATATTATTACTACCTACTGTGCTGGTGTGCATTCAGGCGGCAGCCCCGGGCGATGCATGCAGCGTGATGTATTAACATTAAAAACAATAAAGTGTATCAAATTGAGATATAAATAATGAACAAACAAATAACAGAAAGAGGGAATCTGAGCAGAGACAAACAAAACAAATGCCGCCCGTACCCTGAACTGCATGTACACCACAACCCCCTGGGGTGACGCTACAGGTGCCTCTGCTCTACCTATATTTTATCTTTTTGTTTTTTAGTACATCAGTTAAATATTGGTAAATAACAATAAACAAGCAGAACAAAACAACAGATCTGTTGCCAGAAAGCCAAACGCAACAACAGCAGCAGCAGCAGCTGTAGCAGCAGCAGCAGCAGCCGCTGCAGCAGCTGCTGCTGCTGCCTGTGAGGCGGCGACGGGGCTTTAAGGAGCAGGCCATAGAGCGCTTGGCTACAGATTGTTTGTGCGTTAGTTTATTTTGGGTTTCTGTTTGCTAATTCATTACAGGAGCATTTTATTTGTTTTTATTTTGTTTATTATTTCTATTTCCCCCTGAAGATCGTCTAAGATGGTGGTAGGCGAATGAGCAGCTGTACATACAGCTGGCTGTTGTGTCTCTCTGTCATGCTCTGCCTACTGATGCTTTCATCTTTCCGGTGTATGCAGAGGTGTGTGCATGCAGTTGCTGCTGCTGTTGCTGCTGCGTGAATCTATGAACAATCCCCTGACTGACAGACACAACAACAACAGCAACAGCAGCAGACAGGCACGCAGCGGGCCGGGGGCGGCCTGTCTACCGCTGTTTTTCTTTCTCTGTTTGCTTCTTCGAAATGTCTTTGTATTGAATGCATGCAAAACAGAGAATTCATGAAGCCTACTCCGCTGCTGCTGCTGCTGCTGCTGGGTCGGGCATCAACGCTGTTATGCCGCAGCTCTCGTTGCGGTTTCTCTCTGGCTCTACGGCCTCCCTATTAAGGGCGTAGGGTTTAGGCTTTTGGGAGGTGGAAGGCGGTCTGGGGCAGGCGTGTTTCTCTGCGCTCTATGGTTTAGGGATTGGGGTTTAGGGTTTAGGTCTTGTCTCTGCATTTCCCCGTCATTGTCTTCTTCATGTGCTTGTGTTGAGCGTTGCTGTGCTGCTGCATGCATGGATACATGCATGCATGCAAGCAGACGCTTGCATGTGTGTATCTATACGTGCGTGCATGCAAGCAGGCGCATGGATGCATACATGCATTCATGCATGAATTCGTTTGTTACCCTTTTCAAACTGTGTGCCTCATTCCCTCCGCCCGTATGCATGCATGCATGTTTTGGGGCTGTATTTTGTTATGTGTTCTTTCCTCTGATTTGTTTGTCTCAGGGCACGAATTCTCTTTCGTCCCAAAACTCCCAGACGACTGTCGGCGGCTCTCGCGCTGCTGCAGCAAGGTGCGCTGCAGCAGAAAACAAAACCCCCGAGCATGCATGCATGCATGTTTAGGAGCTTCTATGTATGCATGCATGTATGGAATTTTTTGGTAGCCGTGTGAGCCAGTTCGATGAATCCTCCGTTTCCGCGGTTGCTGCCGCTGCTGCTGCTGCTGCTACAGGAAAAGGGTAACAACTAAGACTGCTGCTGCTTCTAGCGGCACCACAGCTGCAGCCCGCCCCCGTGGATCGAATCAGGGAATCCTCAAATTCTACACTGAAGATGCCCCAGGTCTCCGGGTGTACGTACACTTCATATTATCCACTTTGTCCCACAGCAGCTGGAGCAGTCGCAACAGCAGCAGCAGCTGCTGCTGCAGGTCGGAGTGCAGGAACAAAAGAAGAGGCAGCAGTAGCAGTAGCAACTGCAGCAGGAACAACAACAGCAGCAGGAGCATCAGGAGCATCAGCAAGAGCAGTAGTGTGCCGTTTGTGCTGTTTTCGTGTATCGTTGCTCTCGAGAATAGCATTTATCTTTTTTGTTGTTGCAGTTTGTTTCGTCTGCTGCTGTTTGCTGTTGCGCTGCAGGGGCCCTCAAGCGGTATTAATAATGGCTTTAGTCTTCATGGGGGTTGTCGTGCTGCTGCACATCGTAGGCAAAATACGCCAAGCAGCCAGCGCATAAACAGCACACACGGAAACAGCAGCTGCTGCAGCAGCAGCAACTGCAGCAGCTGCTGCTGCCTTAGAAACAGAAGCAGCAGCAGCTGCAGCAGCTTCAGCAGTTGCGGGAACAAGCAGCAGCGACAGCTGCAGCAGCAGCAGCTGCTGCAGCAGCTGCTGCCGCAGAAGTTGCAGAAACATTAGCTGTAGCAGCTGCGGCTGCGGCAGCAGCTGCAGAAACAGCAGCAGCTGCAGAAACAGCAGCAGCTGCAGAAACAGAGGCAGCTGGAGCAGCAGCAGCTGCAGCAGCAGTAGAAGTTGGCGGATTTAGGTTCTGGTTTTTGTATATTACATTGCCGGACTGCCTGGGGGGGCAGGACGGAGGTGTATTTGATTTATGCACATTTGCTCGCGTTTGGGGGTTTCTGTCGTCTGTAGTCGTCTGCTCTGCTGCTGTTGCTGTTGGTGCTTTTGCTGCTGCTTGTTTTAGTTGTCGCTGCGTATTTTCTGGAGGGGACCTTATAGAGGTGCTCTGACTGTCTCTGGTCGTAACCGCGGGGGCAATAGGCCCTGCTTCACTCTACACCCGATTGTCTATCTCTTCTACGTCCACAGTCCCGCACTGCAGGAGCAGCAGCAGCAGCAGCAACTGCAGCAGAACCAGCAACAGCAACCGGGTACTGCATATAGCTGTCTGTCTCTGTTGCATTCCCCACGTCTTGAGCGTAGGGGCCTGGGATTTGGAGCGCAGCGTACTGCGATTGCTACTTTTCTTATGTTGTTGCAGCAGCAGCAGCAGTGTGCCCAGCAGATGTGTGTGGGCGCCCGTACTGCCTAAGGAACTGTAGATTGGAGAACGCGGGCGATAGAAGCGTCTCGACGCGGCGGTTACACTGTCCGCAGGATACAGTCATCTATATATATATATATATATATATATATATATATATATATATATATATATATATATATATATATATATACGTATATAAGCAGCGCGCTCTCCTCTTGACACTATTCTGCCTGCTTGCTTATCACACTTTTGTCTGCTGGGCTATCTCCTCCCTGTATCTTCGTTAGAAACTAGCCAGGGCATATATTGGAAATAAACGAGCGTATCTTTCGCTGCTTGTATATATATATATATATATATATATATATATATATATATATATATATATATATATATATATATA